AAATCGAGGGTGTCCAGGCAGGCGACTTGGTGAAAAGACAAACAAAAACAAAAAAGAACGAAAAACGGAAAACTTTGCTGCCTCTTTGGCTGGGTTACCGCCAACAACCCCCTCGCAGTTTTAATGTGGATGTTCCCCTTCTAATTTAACATCTAACATAATTATCTTCAGCATGATCATAGATGTAATTCCCCATGCTGTCAGCCCCTCCTTCCTGGACCCCCCCTATTATTTTTACCACAAGAAAATATATTTTTGTTCGCGCCACTTTGCCCCATTATAAAGTTCTTCGAGATATTGGTTGGTTGGTTGGTGTTTTTTTTTTTTGGTATTTTTGGTTTTATATTTTGTTTTTATTTACAATACGCGTGCCGTCGCCCAGTTGAAAACCTCCCCCTCTCCCTCCAGCCATCAGAATCAACATCTGTTTTCCTTGTCCGGCCATCGTCTAGCACTTCTTGAGTTGAGTTCTGTTTTTTTCCTTGGTTCGTTGCTTTACAAAAACAGACCAGAAAATCTGAATATTGGGATAAGTTTATTGTTGTTATTTTTATAAAAATATATTTTCGGTTTTGAGAAAAAAAAAAACTCTCCCTCTCTCTCAGGAGAGAGAGAATAGTGCATGTGTGTGACTACATCGAAATAAAATCATCCAAATGTTGTAAAAAAAACATTCCCCTTGTTTATGATCAGCCGGTAGGTACAACTCACATACAGTCATCCACCCATCCCCAAGATAGGTGCTCTCTACTGCATTCGTTGTCAGAGGGGATGCTGTAGAGGGAGTTCATTTCAAATTTATTTTTCATATATATAACCATAAGTATGTTTCCGCAGTCGAGAGAAGGATTCCCCCATATTTTTGCAGACACATTAATGAGCAGCAGATAATAAATAGAAATTGTTTGTAGTTGTTGTGCAAAAAAAAAAAAACCTAGAATATTGTGATACAGGAAAAAAAATTCTAAAATACTTTCAAAATTAACTCCAGCCAGCCGTCGACGACTGTCTGGAGTTTATAAAAAGACATGAAAATTACATTCATATTTTGTCTCGGAATTTTTTTTGTTTTAATTGAAAAAAGATTTGGCGAATAAAATATAATTGGTCAGACACAAAGAGGGAATTTTAAAACTAATATTGTTTTTTTATTCATGTGTACTTAGCTGAGAGAGGGTGTATTGTATATTATCCGAATTCGAGGAATTTTAGAGAAGATAAAGTCAAAAGTATTTAATTTTTTCAAATTTGCATATTTTTATATTTGGTAGATTATTTGAAAATCATATGTTTACTACCCATAATTACTGAAAAATCCCCTTAAAACTTCACAATTTTTGGTCATAGGGCTTTTACAAATAATTTTTGCTCAAAAGTTGTAGAAACAAGTAAAACAGAAGCTAAGCACGACCAAGCCGGACTTTTAATGTCATCCACCATTTGAAAGGAATTTGCTAAATGTAAAAAAATGCAGTTGAAGTATGTCTCTAAAATTATAAAAATATCGAATATCTGGGGTAAAGTTAGACTATTTTCTATCAGAGAATATAGCATCCAATACCAGTTTAAAGTAATTTACCGATTATAGGTAGATACCATTGCATGGCAACGTTTCGAAGAGATTTGATATGTACAGGAAATTTTCAGTAATAGGAAGTAGTACCCATTACGAACTCCAAGTTAAAAAATTTAAAATGATTCCGGTGAAAAGTGTGACACAAATCATCTAATTACCGAATATATGTAGGTCCAGTTATGTAGGATCTATACAAAACTTGGACCCATGCAAGAATTTTCTTATGTATTGGGAACACTAACGACCAATTTACACCAAATTCACTCAAACTTGTGACTAATAAAATCATAAATTGTGACTTAATCTGCCAGTATAGTTATATGGGGCCTTTACCAAAATGTGGACATTTTGTCAATACCAAAAGTCCTGCAGACCTAAAAAAAAAACATCTACGAAAAATTGTATTAAATGACAAGGTGACAATGTGATACCCTATAATCTATTGAAAAGTTTCTTAGGTTTGTACCTTAGGTTTTCGATCCTAACTTCTAACCTCATGCGAAATTCCGTGTCGATTGGTCTTCAATTGTGAGCTGTAGATGCCAAAATCTTTAAATTTTTCAATTTTTGGTCCTACATATTTTTCATTCTCCTCTTAAAAGATTCTATTCTGAAACTTATCCAACCCTCATGAAAAATGTCGTGAAGATCGGACGATAATTGTGACCTGTAGCGTGATTACAATTTAAGGAACCGACAAAAGGATGAACGTACGTAATTTTAGAGCCAGTATTTCGAGCTATTACAAACGTATTTTTTGACCCAATCGAATGTATAATGTCCCAAAAATACACATCTTTTGGTTCTTAAAAATATATTCACCCTTCCGAAAGGTATATTCTGAAAAAATTCCTAATACATTCTTAATTCCTTAATACATTCCTTGGACAATAAAAAATGTTCTCCTTAAAAAATATATACATTTTAAGTTTCTAACTTAAAAAAATATTTCTATAAGATTCATGTCCCTTAAAAATTTGTTTAGTCCTTAAAAATTTATTCTACCTTCAAAAACGATACTAAAAATCCAAAAAAAAAAAAAATTGTTGTTCCTGAAAACGGATTTTTTTTTAAATCCAATTTTGGGTTTTTTAAATACATTTTTCCCTTACAAAAAAATGTTCTTAAAAAATCTGTTCTTAGTTCAGAAATTTTAGTTATTTCAATGTGGCACGTTTTGGCCATATCAAATGATATATACCCTCAATAGCCATATGACCGAGGATAAAAAAATCCACGATTAGTTCCCCAAAAAATAATTTTAAAAATATTTTTGAAATCCAAGATCAGTTCTTGTAACCATAATTCACAATAAAAATTCAGAATAAGTTCTTCAAATAATAATTTTAATTAAAGATTAGTATAATAAATTGAACAAATTTAAAATACATGCTTCACAGGATTTTTTAATTCTGGAAAAAAAAAACATTCTTAAAAACTCCACTGCTTGTAAAGATTTTTTAAAAAAAACTTCAAATTTATTGTTCGTTAAAAATATATAAAAACCAAGTTTTGGCGCATAGAAAAATATTTTTTTTTTAAAATTCAGTTTATTTTCCTTAAAAAGGGGATTTTTTTCTATTTTCAAAAATCCTTTAGATCCTTAAAAAATATGTTTAAAAAATAACGTTTAAACCTTTATTAGCTCTTGCAAAAAATTAATTTTCAAAAAAAAAAAAAAATTCAAATTCATTTTTTTTTCAAAAATTAATGTTTGAGGCTCCTTGGGTACTTTAAAAAATATGTTCTTGAAAACTCATCGTCTGTTGGCTTAATAAATAAATATTCCCCACCGAAAAAACATGTTTTATAGTTTTGTTGGTCCTTGAAAAAATAAATTTAAAAAAATCCACATTAATAGCAATTTAGAAAATATTAGAAAAAAAAAATATTCCTAAAATTTCTTAAAAAATAATCCCGAAAATTATACGTTTATTGGTCTAGATGTCTTTGAAAAAAATATTACAAAAATATTCGTAAAATATCCTTAAAAAACCTTTTTTGGAAGACCAAATTTACGACTTCTTCGAAACTTATAATTCTTTAAAAGTCTACATTTGTTGGTATATTGGTCCCAGAAAAATTTTTCTTTAAAAATCTAGATTTCTTTCTCTTTGAATTCTTAAAAAAAAATCTTAAAAAATCTAAGTTTTTAGTTTTCTAAAAATGCATGTTGTTTTTAAGAACTACCTATGCAAGGCCTCGAAAAAGTTGTCATAAAAATCCAAGCTTTTTCCTCATTAGGTCCTTAATTTGTATACCCTAAATCACACTGGGGCCAGGGTATTATGTTTTTGTGTATTTTATTTGTAACATGGAGAAGGAAGCTAGATAGACCCATATAGTTCCTTTTGATGATCTGCATAGAATCACATCTTTACTTGATTTATGCATATCCGTCCGTCCGTCTGTCTGTTCATGTATTTTTGTAAACAAAGTACTGGTCGCATTTATTGTCCGATGGAAATTAAATTTTGCACAAACTATTTGCTTGATCCAAGGACGAATTCTTGTGCACCCAATGTTGCCCTCAACTTTAGCTCCAAATTCCTTAAAAAAAATCAACGTTTAAAAAATTTTTAAAAATATTTAAAAAGTAAATTAATTTGTTTGGCTTTGAAAAAGTCCAAGTCTCTTCCTCATTAGGTCCTTATTTTTTTAATCCACGTTTATAAGTCATTTAGGTTTTGAAAATTATTTTTAAGAAATCCAAATCCAATCCAAATCCATCCAAAATCATTAAATCAACGTCTAAAATAAATTTTAAAAATCTTTAAAAAATTATTTTTTTTTCGGATTATTTTCTTTTTTTCAATTTTATTTTCCAAAATGAAAAAAAATCCTTTCGACTGTATTTTTTGAATTATTGCACTGCTTCTACAATTCCAATATGACGCATACTGTCTAAAAAAATTCTAATTATTGCCATGCAAAATCAAAAGTCATCAGCTGTAGAGTGACACGGGAAGACGGGCAAAAAAAAATTTAGAAAAAAATATTAGACGCCCCCTTAATAACTGTGTGACGAAAAAAATAAATACAAACAAGACAAAATAACACGGCTGATTTCCGATGATGGCTTTTGAAGAATACCAAAAAATTGTATACCTGGACATACATCTAAACACAGCTATAGAAGACATACATCTGTGTCGACTATAAATATATATCATGGGTGTTGGTGGTGTGCCCCATCAAAATAGAGAAACAACAACAACACAGGCGACACTATTCACCGGTCCGGTGTCGTTCATGATGATGAATTTGTTATGCTTCTAATTTTAATATGACTAGCTCTCTATCTGTCTGTCTCTCTGTCCGTCCGTCTGTTTGTCGGTCTGCATGTCTATATAGCACGAGTGTTTATATATATTTGATTTTAATTCTTTTTTTTTTTTTTTTTCGTTTTTAATTTTCATTTCAGATTATAATATTCGGGCTATTTGAATTATCAAGAACAAGCAACGTCTGACGGATGACGATTTAGCTAAAAAAGCCAAAAACAACAACAACAACAAAAATAACATCAACGAGAATAACAATGAAAATCATGAATCAGTTTTGGGGATTCTTGAGAAAAATCGAAAAGTAAACGAGGCAGAGATTTTCACCACCCCCCACAAAACAGAAAAAAAATCATTTCCCCCCGGTTACTAGAATTTTTGTTTTTTTTTTGTGTTCGAAAAGGGGGAATAATCGTCGATTGCATTTTTTTAATCCAATTGGAATTCAAGTTGAGAGCATTGAAAAAATTTGGGGAAAATGACGCTATTGCTCGATCGAAAAAAGTGCCTAAATTGTGATAAATTTCTAAGAAAAATTCCAAAAATGTATGAACGCAATCGGTAAAAGCAGCAGCAGGAAAATCGGCGAAAAAAAAGACGGTAAATGAAATTACGACGAGCACACACACACACATATATACACTCGTCGAGCGACTAAGTGATTTTTTTTTTGTTGTGAAATGAAATGCCGTGTAGTGCAGTGCCAAGAAAATAGGAAAATGATCTAAGAAGCAAAAAAAAAAAAAAAAAAAAAAAATTGAAATGAAAAATATTTGAAAAAAAAAAATTACAAGTGAATGAGTAAATCAAAGAAAGCTGCACACACCCACAGCATTTGCAGCCACAGCGACACCAACATCACCACCACCACCACCATACCTCAATTGGCCTCTGTGTTAGAAGTGGCAGAAAAGGTGCAGCTGCATTCAATAACACCCTTCGAATAGCTCAGCCGGTCCCCCTGAAACGCATAACGCACCCAGCTAAGAAAAAAAAAACAACAACAAAAAAGAGAAAATTCTCCAATTTTCCATTTTTTTTTTTTAATTTTTTGTAACGCCGAAAATCTTGAAGTGAAAGTGTAAGAATGCTAGAAAAAATCAAAGTGAAAAGGTGATGAAAGGTTTTGGAACCGCCACAAAACAACATCCCCCCAAAAAATATCCCTGTCTTTGTCTCTCTCTGAGAATTTTTTTTCCAGAGATAAAATAAATTTTCATAAAAAAAGAGAATTGAAAAATAAATAAATATTTATTTTTTTTTTGGTGGATGTGAAAGATTTTTTTGAAATTTTTGTTAGAAAAAAAAAAGTAAATAAACTCAAACTCAAACACCCAAATCACGACCGACCAAACTTTTGTTCGATTCGCTATCAATTGCGGAAACGCCATGAATGCGCGAATATTGCGCAAATGGAGTATACATACGAAAAATCTAATGTCTTGCTCAGCGTGTTCACTTGTGGTCGTTGTACTGCTGCTGCTGCCGCTACTACTTGTCACATGTGCCGCCACACCAGCCCTAGCATTGGCCGCAATGAACCTGCCACAATCACAGCGAACAACAACAGCACTACACACATTGTCGTCGTCGTCGTCGTCGTCGTTGTTGTGGCCGACAACGTCACTGGCGCTGGCGAGTACAGCAGCCGGAGTAGAGAAAGAGGAACCCATGCCAAAAAATGTCCATCATGCAGCAGGAGCAGGAGAAGCAATAGCAGCAGCAGTAGCAGCAGGAGGAGTAGGGGGAGTAGTTCGAGAGACATTGCAAGCCAGCAGCAACAAACAACGGCCAACACTAACCTGGCCGACAACAATATTTGCATCCGCAGCACCAGCAACTTCATTGTCATACCAGCAACAACAACAGCAGCAGCAGCCCCAGTCCCAACTTCGGCGAGAGCCAACAAAATTATTGGCAAGCTCATCATTGCAAGCATACCGAAGTTACGGCAGTGGCACGAGACATCAGGCGTCACAACGCTTGGAAGTGGCCAACAATGGTGGCGACATTATGGCCAGAGAACCATTTCCGGGCTTTTACACACAACAACAACCCCGGCCAGATGACATACAGCCAACATGGCCCTTGGCTGCCAGACAATATGCCAAGCCAACTAGCAGTGGTAGTAATAATGGTGGGCTATTGGCCCCAGCTTGGCTGGTCCCCAAAAACAAGGATATACTCAAGCCCGGGACCTCCCAGCAAATGGGAGAGTGGGCCCAAACCCCCTTAAGGCCCCTGGAGTCACATCATCATACGGAAGAGACAGATGATGCTGATGATGATGACAACATGGATGACTTCATGGCAGACAAATTAGGCGTTGACGCCAATAACAATTATGAGGAGCAGGAGCAGGAGGAGGAGAATGATTTTAATGGCAGTGATGATGATGACGATGATGATGTGGAAAATGAGGATATTAGCCAAATGACTGACAATAAATACCAGGACAATAAGGCGACAACAAGACTATCCGGCAGGAACATAAAAAGTCTGGAGACAAGAAGGTATCCTTATAGGCAGCATTATTACCAACAACAACAACAACAACAAAAAGAACAACAACGCCCTTCCCCCACAACATCCCACACACAAACCCCCAATATCATCACCAAAACAACAACAACAACAGTCTTTTCATCACCCAACCATAAATCCATGGAACCAAACATTGGCAGCGGTGGCGGCGGCGGCGGCGATAAGGTTTTCGACATCTCCAATATCTTGAAAGTAAACAAAATTAAGTCATCTGCCGCCAGAGCGCCCATACGATTTGTTATAGAATCATATGAGGTAGCACCATTGCCCCTCTCCCTCTCAGCCTCCACCACTGCATCACAAAGAGGTGAGCCAGCGGCGCGGCGTTTAAAGCAATTGCGTAGCCGACATGAACAGCAACAGCAGGCGGCACGTAATCGCCGAGATTCCTTGCGGGGTGGTTATAATAAACGTAATCAGCAAGACTCCAGCAGCCCCTCCTCCTCCTCCTCTTCCTCCATGTACTTTCGCCACCACCACCACAACAACAACAACCATCAACGGCTGCGCAACAAACACGATCATCGCCGCCGCTACTGTTCCGCCCGTGATCCCGCCCAGCTAGCCTTCGAAGCACCCACCGTCTTCGAGGGTAAAATTGTCTCAATGACACCCGATCGCCGCATGAACTTCTCCGCCACCGTTGAGGTGCGTGAGGTCTTCAAACAACAGATTGGCTATCGCCTGCAAAAATATCTACGCCTGCAATTCGCCTATCGCAACAGCAGCGGCGAATGTGACATCTATCGCGAACAGCTGCGACCGCGTGGCCTTGTCCGCGGCGACACAATTGAGCCGGGCCGCATCTATTTGCTGTTCGTACAGCAGCTTGACATTGGCAATTTCACCATCCTTGGCCAGCCGATAAGGAAGACCAAACGGGTTGTTGAAGCTGTCCGCAATGCTGTGAGTGAAAACTATGGTGAGTGTGATCGGCAGAAGAAACTTATTTTAATTATTTTTTTTAATAGCAACAACAGCAACAGCAATGTGCGCTGGATCTGTTTGGCAGATGTTTTTGTTATTCGCAGCTTGTTATGGATACGGCATTGTTATTGACCGTATTTGTTATGGCTTTGATTAATTAATGATATTTATACAAGAAAATATACAGTGGTGGGAAAAAGTGTGAAAATGGCCTTTGAAGGTCATCAATAGATCTTGGAGAGATTCCTAGGGACCTCTGTAGTTAAGAAGTCTTCTTAAGAGCGTATAAGAATAGAAGAGCTTTCAGAGGTCTTCTGTGGATGAATAACGCTTTTGGGAGAGAGATCTTGTTATGGATAGAATTTTCTTTTTTTCATATTCTGGAAACTGAAAAATTTCCATCGACTTTTGCCGATCGAGGTATCCGTTCCATATAGAACCTCTAAGGGGTCATGCAATCTTAAAGCTCTTTCATCCATAGACGACTTGTAAAAGATCTTCTCAGCATAGAATTACTGCTCAATTCCCTCTCCCAGTGGTCTTCTCTCCATCAGTGGTCTCTCAATAGATAAACCTCTTGTTGTGGATTGAAATTTCTTTTTTTCATATTCTGGGAACTGAAAAATTTCCATCGACTTTTGCCGATCGAGGTCTTTGATTCATGGAGAACCTCTAAGGGGTCATGCAATCTTAAAGCTCTTTCATCCATAGACGACTTGTAAAAAATCTTCTCAGCATAACATTACTGTTCAATCCTCCCAATGGTCTTCTATCCATCAATAGTCTCTCAATTGATAAACCTCTTTGCTTTATTGGATATCTGTTTAGGGAGTTTTTTTCACTAAAAAAATTTCCGATATAGAAATCTCGAAAATTTTGCGATATCGGAAATATTGTCTCCCCTAGGGAGACCTTTCATTGAATGGTATTACCTTAAACCCAGGTATCCTAGGTTTCGCAAAGTGGCTGTGGCTGTTAAAAATTAATTTTTTAAAAAGTCGGAGATTTTTCGATATTGGAAATTGATTTTGGATATGGACTTTTTATATTTTGGAGGTAGCCCAGTTTTCGCACAGTGGGTCATATGACACTTGCTAAACGTCTCCTATACGTAGGGCGTCCGCTTTAGTTTATCTTTCCATGGGAGACTCTCTAAATGTCCTTTATTCACATAAGACCTGCCAAAGTTCTCCCAACCATAGAGAACCTGCTACAGATCGTCTATGCAAAACAAAATTGATTTCCTTGGTAAAGGTAGATTTCTTTCATTTGGGGTTTATTAAGCTAATAGACCTAAGTTTTGTAAATAACATCTCCTGTTAAAGGTCTTCAGTCATGGGGGACCTACTTTAGGGACTCCCTTCATAGGGGACGAGCTTAGGGTCTTATAGCCACAGAAAAGCACCTGAAGACCTCCAAAGTTGTCTTATTCATGGGAGACCTTGCTAAAGTTGTCCTATTCATAGGAGATCTGTTCAAGGGTCTCTCTTCATTGGAGAGGAGCGTAGGCGAGATACTGTAGGCCTCCAAAGGAAACCTGTCATAGCTGCTAAAGGTCTTCATCCTTAGAAGACCTGCTTAAATTTCCCTCTACATAACAGACGAGCTTAGGACTTCTATTCAGAAGAGAGTTGCTAAAGGTCTCCTATCCGTGGGAGACGAGCTAAGGCTCTCCTAGACATAATAGATTTGATAGATGTCTCCTATCAATAAAACCCTGCTGTAGGTATTTTATCAATTGGAGCTCTATGGAGTCCTGCAAAAGCTCTCCCATTCCTAACCATAGGTAAGGTCTACCATTCGTGGGACAGCTGCTTTAGGTTTCCTATTCATAAGAGAACTGCTAAAGGTTTTCTATCGAAAAAAAGACCCGTTGGAAGTCTCGTTACCATAAGAGACCTGCAACAGACCTACTTAAGGCCTTATATCAATAGAATATGTGGTATAGGTCCTGCTAAAAGTCGACTAATCATAAAAGACTGGCTACAGATCTCCCACTCATAAGAGACGGGTCTTCGGTTCATAGGAGCTCTACTACAGAATTCCTATTTTTTAGGGGCATTCTGGCCACAGGAAAGCTGTTATAGGTCTTCTATACGTAGGGGACCTGCTTAAAAATTCCTCCTTCATAGGAGAATGGCTAGGGTTCTCCTAGCCCTATGGGACCTACTATAAGTCTTATATTCTATTAGACCAATGAATAAAGCGCTTTTGTTCTTTGGAGACCTCATAAAGCTCCGTTTCGATAGGAGATCTTCCAAAGGAGACCTGTTAAATTTCGTCTATCCCTAGAAGACCTACTGAAGATCTCCAATCCCTAAAATACCTTATAATGATCTCCTATTTATGGGGGATCCGATAAATGTCCCTTAACCATTGAAAATCTGCTAAAAATATTCTCTGGATGAAAAATCTGATAGTCTCCTACCCATAAAGACGTACTTAATAGACCTGTATGAAGTTTTATCTGTAGCCATCTCCATTGAAGACCCTCTAATGAATTTCTATCCATAAGAGACCGTTTAAATTCTCCTAACTGTAGGAGGCTAATCGGACGTCTAATGTCTATACAGGAACTCTGAAGGGTCTTCCAGCTATAGCGGATCTCTAGTGGCTTTCTCTCTGGAAAAGTCATCTTGAAAATTTTGTAATTACAGGACACTTCTGGGAGTTACTTTGCGCTTTATTTACAGCTGAAAGGCCTTGCCTTGTATATTTATGGACCTTTTAAGGTCCTCTAAATATAGGCGACCCCTGGGCCGTTTCGTGCTGAAAATAGGCCATCCAGATGCAATCAAATGTCTTCAAACCTTGGAAGGTCTTCTGTCTATAGATGAACTCCGAAGATCTTCGGCCATAGCATTCCACTGGTGGTAATGTATCCAAAGAAGAAGCGTCTCGAAATTTTTCTGGAGGTGCTACTCTGGGAAGTTTTTCTAGATACAAGAGACTCTTGGATGGAAATTGGCCATCCAGATGTATTCAGTCTTTGAACGATCATTTGAAAGACTGTAATCTGAGGTAGACTTCTTTGATGACATTCAAATGTATATGGCTTCTAGACGGTCTTCTCTGTGAGAGGTCTTCTATCTTTGAAAAATCCTGAAGAGGTCTTCTCTTTTTGTAGTCCTGTGTACATTTGAAATAGAAAACGTGAATTTTTAAGTAGATCCTTGAAAGTACTCTAATCAGAGGTAGACATTTTTGATTTCTACCTCAGAGAAAGCTTATGGAGTTCTCCTCTGCGGGAGATCTTCTATCTTGCAGGGGTTCCTACGAATGGTTTCTTCTATTTATTCGTTTATTTTAAATAGAAAATTATTTTTTTTTAGAAGATCCTTCGAAGGACTCCAATCAGAGGTAAATATTGTTGACTTCGACCCCAGAGAATCCTGTCCCAGTCCCTTCTCTAGAAGACAGATAAGTTTTTGGAAGACCTATTGATGTTCCAGAGAAGACTTGGTGCTTACTGGTCTTCTAAACGACGCCCACTGGTCTTCTAAAGGACAACTACTAGTCTTCTGGAGAAAATCTATTGGACCTACTGCTCCACCCACCTATAGAAGTCCTATGGAACCTCTTCCACTCATAGAAAGTCTCTAGTATAACTTCTAACTATGGAAGGCCTATATGAGGAATTCTGTCTATAGAAAGCCTTTTGATCTTCTAAAGGATACCTACTGGTCTTCTAAAGTAGTAAAGGTCTTCTGGAGAAGATCTATTAGTTTTCTGGAGATGACCTAGTGGTCTTCTGGAGAAGATCTATTGGTTTTCTGCAGAAGGCCTACTGGTCTTCTAGAGAAGATCTACTGGTCTTCTAGAGAAGACCTACTGCTCCACCCACCTATAGAATTCCTATGGAACCTTTTCCACTCATAGAAAGTCTCTAGAATAACTTCTAACTATAAGAGGCCTGTATGACCCTTCCATTTATAGAAGGCCTGTGGGAGGTCGTCCATCTTTAGAAGGACGAAGGCCTTCTATTTATAGAAGACTACTTAGAGGTCTTCCACCTAAATATAAATAATAATATAGAAAGACTCTGGAAGGTTATCCATCTATAGAAGACCTCTGAAGGGCCTACCACCTGTAGAAGGTGGAAGTATATTTTAAGTAGTTTTGTCAGGGCTCCTACGAAATGGCTACATTTCTATCACTTTTTTGTATGATTTTTAGCTAACTCCTGACGGAAGTGGTTTTGAAAGACCTTTGTATGTTCGTCCCTGGGCAATAATAAACCTTAATAAAACCTATAATCTTTTCTAGCGGCACTTATAAGTTTCTTAATCCTCTAAATTAATTCTCTGAATTACATTACATCAGCTTGGTTTTTTTATTATTTAAAGATACTCTGAGAGGTCTTTTACATTTAAAAGTCCTCTGGAAGGACTTCTGACTAAAGAAAACCTATGAAAGTTTCCAACGGCATTTTACTGTTACAACTCATTCTTCATATCTCCCGAAGATCGCTAAAAACCACCAACAAGAAATTTTTCTCACTCGTTTTCCTTCAAAAAATCTCTTTGTTCGCCATTACGTCACTCGGAATCTTTTAATATTGATTTTATTTTATTTTTTTTTTCAATATTTCAAAGAAGGGTGCTTTAAAATAGATTTTCATGACAACCGACTGTTGGCTGTGTCAAGGTTTTTGTTTTCGGCACGACAACTGTTCGTAAACGACCAAATTTTGAATGTGTGAATAATATGGGTTCGCCGGCCATAAATATGCCATCAATTTTTATTGCTGTCTTGTTGTCGTGGCTTCTAATTAAATTTGTAATAAAGAAACGCTTTTCTAATTAATCCATAACAAAGGCAAGCAAAACAAATTAAATGGCAGATGAAAGGCAGTGGAGGTCGGGTTTGTTTTGGTGGGGGGGAAAAGGTAGATGAATTTAGGGGTCAGTCAGTCATGAGGAAAATGCGATTGTGAAATGTGGTTTGCCGAAATTTTTCCATAGAAAAGTATTTTTTGGGGTTTGAGAAATTATT